TCTCGATAACTCAAACATTTATCGTACCAGTATGTCACTGAGTTATTTAATTTTTAAATCCAATGTACCTGAAGTAAGGAGGAGCTATCCAGAACCAAGCTATTTTCGGACATTCTCAGATCAGTAATGATCGGAAGGACAGCGCTGCGGTGCTATGTATGTGTCTAGTTAACTCAGCATTTCTGCAGAAGTGTCAGGAGAGCAAACACAGAGAAATGCTCTACCTTTCTCAACGAACACCAATGGATTCGACAGATTTCCAGTCTGACAGTTTGTCCATCAAATCTTGATCTCCATTTGCCACCACTGCAGTCAGGATCGACGTCTAGGGCTGCCTGGCTCTCCACGTATTCACTTGTCCCTAGCTTACTCCGGACTGTTCATGAAACAAGGATATAGTTCAACGGCCAAGTGCTGTTAGCCTGCTTCTGCTGGAATAGGAGATCGTATTCCATCTCAGACGGATAAAAATCCTGCGGTTGGGAGAACACAAAGGCGTGCTGTGGATTTTTTAAAACCAAGAAAACAGCTGCCCGCGTCGACCGTCTCGCATGGCATAAAGGCCTCTGTTTATAACTGCTATCTGGGAGTGTTTTGAACGCAACTGAGAATTTGCCAGTATGCACTACGTTGGGTCGACATTTCTGCCAAACGAGGCATGAGAAGGATGACATTGACGACCAGACCAACCAGGTGTACGTCGTCTTCATCTGATCTTGTCGAGAATTCGGGACTCAATGCATGATCAGGTATAATGTCAGCCTTCAAGTGAAGTTTCATTTGCCCAAATAGGCCTTTAGTGCGGATGTGTAAAATGATCGATGTGTTCAGAGAGCACTGACTGCCCGGAAGTACTCTGTCCATGGTAACTTCGTCTATCCGCTCGCGTTTGCAATGAACGCTGTGCAGTTGACCAGCAAAATAACCGACCGACCGCGACCTCCCCGCTCAACGACCGGGGTAGTTTTTCCATCCTGAGGGGGTGAACACGTCCAGATTGTCTCCTCGACTGGACCTCTGACCCTTGTCGGTGACGACGCCTAGGGGGAGAACTGAAGACTTCCATGAGCGTTGTGAAAGTTACGGCAAGAATAAAGTACAGTAGGTGGGTAACTTCATAAAATGTCAACAGAAATTCCAAAACGCGTTTTTCTTTTAAAAAGATTAATTAAGCAGGGTTGTAAAACTAAGCATCGTGCAGGAAAATTTTATAATAATTCAGTTACCTCAGGATGCCGGCTTTTGAACGAATTTCTTTCCGGCTGAATGCAAAAACTGCACTCTGTAAAAAATGACTACTTATGAAGCATGCACTTTTATCATTGATTTTTGATACCTTTAGAAATTACCTTATATTTCATGAAAAGCATGCATAAAAATATTCATTTTTTCGCTCATTCGGTAGAAAATGGCGTCTTTTTCCAATTTTATGCTCGAAGGAAAGGTACGATTCGGTTTTAAAAAAGTTTCTAATTATGAGATTTTTTTAATACCGTGAAATGACAGTTCATAAAAAGTCATGTCTCTGCATTTACCAATGTGGCTTGTAAATTTAGCAATATGGATCAAATCAACTGCTAAATTTTATGAACCCCGTATAGTCTCCTTTTAATACCGTAGAGAAGTGTGTGGTTTTCCGCAGCCGGAAAATATACGGCTTGTAGTTTGGAAACCCTGAATGCAAGCATAACGGCAAGTAGATTCAGAATTATTCGGGAATAGGAAAAGATTTGAAAACTGAGTTAGGAAACCCCGGGCAGGGAGTTGAGAAAAAAGTCAAAAATCTTTAGGGTAAGGTTATTCCATACTAACAGCACAGGTACTAGCCAAAAGGCCATACACGCCTGCTCCGCCGCTGAATATTACGCGCTTAACTGCTGTGGCTGATGGACTTCGGCCCAAACATTCGTACATAAAAACTTAGGTCTGAGCCTAAAGACCTTAAATATACAGATCTACTCCAAGTTCGCAGTTTATTCCGATGGAAATCAAAAAGCTACAAAGTAAAAAACTGCCAGGAAGCTTTGTCTGCGATAAAACCGTAAGCGGAAGCTGGCCACGCAATTCAAATAAAAATAAAAAACCATTAACAATGAATCCATATAAACATTTTTGTAGCACCGCGTCCTTGGGGCGGCTCAGTTCAAAGTATACCATCCTGACGGAGCACGAAGTGCCTGAGGGCGTGACTAGATTTCGATTAAAAAAAACTCCATCAAAGAACGCCTGCTTTGATATGTATAGTTGGCAGCTCTCGATTGTAAACCTACCTTGGTCATATAATCTACCTTTACCAAATTTGAATTTGAACGTATCTCCGGCTGTGCACTCTGCGACACTGGCGTGTGTAAACTGGCTCATCTTACCTCGGCAAGCTGCGGTTTATCGAATGTGAAGGTGACTGATCATTCTTGATACGAAAAACTTACAGTCAAAGCCTGATTGTCGGTATAAATAAAACGTAATGGCGGAACTAAGTGCTGAAATTGTATCTCGTGCATAAGGGTTGCGGAGATTTCACAAAACTTTCCAAGCAAAAAGGGTACCGGATGTGTTTTTACCGTTTTGTGCTAAATCGACCGGTTACTGTCCTCAAAATAAATTTTCGTCCGCATAGTACCAAGGATGGAGACTGAAACTACGTTGGGGAAACCGGACGGAAATTGCAGACCCGCCTACATGAGCACAAACTGGCAACTCGGAGACTGCACCCAAACTCACAGCTTGCGGCTCACAACGGGGAAACTGGCCACAGTTTTGATTTTCAAGGAGCAGCCGTCTTAGGCATTGGCACCTCAAGACCTGAGTGTCTCACACTTGAGGCTTGATACTCAGATGCCAACTCCATCAACAGGCATCTAGACCTTCCTTCGGCCTATAAAGTCCTACGTCACTACATACGCCGTGACGAAGACAAGACAGTCATACGGAGCCTAAGAATACCGAGCAAACACGGCCTGCCGCCCTCTTCACCCAAAAAGGAAACGCAAACGCAACTAACCCCAATTGAGGTGACGACACGTAATACAGGAGACCACCAACACTCACAAGCGAGGGGCAGTATGCCAAGGCAGCGAAAGAAGAAAAAAATCGATCAGCCCAAGGCCGCCTAATCCGGCAGTCTCTTCAAAAATTCGGGTCGATTTTTTCACTTGACGCTTTGACAATGGAGAGCAGCCCCAGCTCTTTGAAACGTCAGCCAGAAAAGTCCCCCGATCCGGTGAGCAATGCATTTTCCTCAGATTACCGACCCGGATCTCTTACTTTGGCTTACCCTATTTCTGGGTAATATTCACCCCTCTTGACCGCACTTTTACTGATACCGCAGGCCAGAGATAATAAGTTCGACTTGGCGATCCTGCATTTCATCATCTTAGCCGCTGGACGGTGTCTAATAAGGGTCAGCTTCCAGATAGAAATATTTACAGTCTTGCATCTCACCAGTACATTTGTGCGTGGATTCCAGGATTTCTACTTTCCAATCTATTCCAATGTGCTATCTAAGTGGGAGTTTGCAGATTAATTTTGCCATTATTTTACTATCCACGCCTAGTGTTTGTGTGATAACATAAGTAAATTTGCCGTAATCTCTCTAATAAATCTAGACCAACTGTCTCCATAATAACTGCACAGTCCTATGTAAACTCATACACTCTTGTATTTATGATTTGCATACCGGCCGCGCAGAATGTAGGACGTTCTGGATGAAAGTTTTAGAAGGACAGTGTCAACGCAAGGCCTATTTCTCTTCCCCTCTCTCTCTCTCTCTCTCTCTCTCTCTCCACCTCCCCCTTCTCTTCCTCACACACAAACATATAGCCGACAGTTCGACCGTCGTTGCCGACGATGTCCACTGTGTGTTCCAGAGCATGGTGAAGTAGGGACGGCTACTTGTGTGTGAATTAGTTTATATTGAATGTAGACTTGCACAGCATTTACCGCACGCTCTCTTCATCCCCTACTTGTTCCCAGTGTCAAGACAGAGTCAAGAAGACCGGAGGCGGGAAGGGCGCAGGTGGATAGCGCGGTTGAGCCCGCACCTTGACGCTCCACTCCACGCCCCGTGGTTCACACAGCAAATGATCAAGATTTTAACCAACAAGAACAATGGGGGGGGCAGCAGGGGTCCCAGTGTGCGCAACGTCTGCCGGAAACTGGATCTGCAACCGCACCCCGAACACACACATACACACCCGACATTTCTACCGTCGACTTCGACGACGTCCACTGTGTGCTACACAGCAAGGTGCAGCAGGCACGGTGACTTGCGCGTGAATTAGTTTATAATGAATGCAGGCTTGTGCAGCATCTACCACACCCTTTATTCCCCATTCTCCACCTGAACCCGGTGTCAAGACAAAGTCAAGAAGACCGAAGGCGGAAAGCGGACGCAGGCGGATGGCACAGTCGAGGCAGTTCCTTGGAGTTACACTCCACAGACCCTGGTCCACACAGTAATTGACCAGGTTTTTGACCAGCAACAGCAGCAACAACAATAGCAGCACCCCAACAGGTGTCAAACTGACGAGGATTACTGAGCAACCATGCCCACCATCTGTATACGCAGCGGGAGCGCAATCGTATCTACCGTCAGGGAACTGCCAGCGCATACCAGGCTGCGATGGCCATGGCTTGCTGATACTGACATAGTATACGCTTTCAGACCTTTTGACGTAGAAGGTCGCTGATCGACGCCCCAACTCAGTCCACACAGTCTGTCCAGTTGTGCGTGTTTGTATAGGGTGGCAGACTGGTGGACCCAGAGCCAGGTTAGAACGGCTCATTCTAGACGTGACCTACGGCATCCTCACGAATGTGAAATGTACACCGCTCAACCCCGTTGTGTGAAATCCTGGGGTTTGTTTTTGAGGGGCGTGCAGACAAGGTCACTAGGTATGTCAGCCACCGCGCCCATTCCCCCCTCCAGTCAACTGACCGGCTCAGACAGCGATTCGGGCCTGGGGGCTTCCCAGGTAGGTGAGGTTGCCCACGGCTTGCAGTTAGGCGCTGTCCACGTTGATTCGGGGTGCGAAATAGGCAGAGTCGAGTGGTGGTTGATGCATAACCATCGTTCTCTCCGTGTTAATGACCAGGCTGAAGTTATCGCAGGCGGCGGCGAAGAAGTACATGCATCTTTGCATTTCCATTTCCGAGGCGGTTTTGAGGGCGCAGACGTCGGCGAAGAGAAGTTCATGGACGATAGTTGTGGATACACGTGATTGGAAGTGCATCCGACACTGATTGAGGAGTTGGCCAGCCGTCCTGTAGACGGCGCGGATCCCGGGGCATTCGTCACAGTAGGTGTCCATTAGCATCGCAGAAAACCTGAGACTGAAGATGATGGGCGCGAGAACGCAGTCCTGCTTCACTACGTTGATCACTGCGAATGTCTCCGAGACAGCTCAATCGTCCGTGATGCGCGGGATTGGCGAATATCTGCATGGTTTTCCACAGTCATTCGTGATTTACCGTGTCAAAAGCTTTCGTCAGATCTACGAAGGTAGAGTAGAGGCGGGTACGAATCTCCTGACACTTCCCCTGCAGGTGACGGGTGGCGAAGATCATGTCAGTGGTACCACGATGACAGCAGGAGCTTCACTGGCTGTCCAGCAGGAGACCTTGTTCTAGATGGTGGTTCAGGCGGTTGAGGAGAATGCGAACGGAGATCTTCCCGCGATGTTAAGCAAGGAGTTGCCTCGATCTTTGTCGCAGAGCTGTAAATTACTTTTCCGCTTGCAGAGGTGCACGATGGGGACCAACGAGTTTGCAAATCTCAGCAGGAATCGCGTCCGATGCTGGGCACTTTCCCGCTGGAATGTTGTTGCACGGACCTGATTCTTTCGTGGAGAGAGGGCGGGAGATCGAGGTCGTCGTTGGTCTCCACTTGAAGCAGACGGGCGATGACAGCTTCGGAGATGGTAGGGGGGCGGTTGAGAACGTCTCTGGATTGTTCGGCCGATCGCTGTAGAATTTGTGTTATCTCAGTGAGTAGGGCACAGCCGTCGGCGCTGAGACGGGGAGCAGTTCCTTTGGTAGGCAGACCGTAGACAGTCTTGATCGCAGCGAAGATGTCCTTCCATTCGTTGCGGTCCACATACCCTTGGATCTGCTCGGCCTTGCGAGTCGTCCAGTCGTCCTGCATCTCCCGCGCTGCTGTCGCACAAGGCGCCGACTACGGTAGAAGGTAGGGCAGTTGATGTGAACTTTGTGTGGGCGGTTCTACTCAACAGCAGGTTGCTGATGGTGTCGTCGTTGTCGTCGACCCAGTCCTGATGTTGGCAACGTTCACGAACAAGGACATCCTGGACGATCGATTGGACTTTGTCCATCAGTTAAAATCATCGGTTCTCCACGAAGGCGTTCTCGGCAGCGACGGCGGCGGCAGCGATCGGAAGGCTGTCTGGCCGTTTAGCTGGCTCATTGTTGAAATGGAAATGGTGAGTAGGCAAAGACAAGAAAAAAATAGTCAGGCCACTCACCTTGAGGTCTTCTGCAAGGCTATGGGTGAATCGTCGTCTTAGAGATGACTATGCGATGGTCGGTCCACCCACCGACAACCGGGACCGTCTTTGTCACCAGCACGTCTCGCTGATCTCGCCTCCGGACGAGGACATAACCCAGCAGGTGCCACTGACGCGACCGAGTGGGCATCCAAGTGGTCTTATCTCGCATCGGGAGGCGGAAGAAGATGCTGGTCAGGATGAGGTGATATTCTGCGCAGGTTCGTAGGAGGAGCAGGCCATTGTCGCTGGAGCCGTGGAAATCATGGGAACCCAGCATTTCTCTCCAGGCTGCGTGGTATGTATCGGCGCGAACCTGTAAGCCACCAAGGATAATCAACTCGTCCGCCTTCGGCGCAGTTGCCAGGAGGGCATGCAAGTCCTCGTATAATTTGTTACTTACAGCATCGACAATGGCTATCGGGTGGTGGCGTAGACGTTGACGATGGCGCAAATTTGCCTTCCCGGAGAGGCAGTCGGAGGCTCATCAGGGGATCGCCGATGCCCTGCGGCAGACGGGGAAGTCGTTCCAAAATGTCGTTCGGGCTGGCGAAGGCGACACCCGCGTCTCGTCGCTCTGCCCTGGGGCGACCACTCCAGCAGAAGGTGTAGCCAGTATCCACTTCATCCCGTTGGCCATGTTCGGAGAACCGGGTCTTGCTGAGTGCGTTGATATCCACCTTGTATCGCGCCAGTTCGCGAGCGATTGGCACCGTCCTCAGTTCCGGTCAGTTGCTCCTTGTGTTATCTCAAAGGCGACGAACATTCCATGCTG